AAAAAAAGAGTCTCAAAAAAAATTCGTAAAGCTATTAATACATCACAAACTCCAGAAAATATTGTACCGATATTTTTCCATTGTCTTTATCTCATCGTGTGCAGTAAATTCATTTTTCCTTCTTATCATTTAAGATCATAGACGCTAATAACTGTGACGAAGGAAAAAAAGAGATTGTGCCTTCAGTCAAATATGATCTTCGAAAGATTGAGAGAAAAAATTATGTTGAAAGGATTTCATCAGCTGACGTGGAGGAAAAGATAATCGTAAGCAATAAAAAACAATACATTATGGTTCAGATTAAAAAATTACTTTTTCATGTTTAATCTAAAATTTTCACAGGATGAATTAAATTGTGGGATATCATCTGTTTATGAAGATGAACATGAAAATTCCTCAGATGTCAATTCTGACGAAGAGTTCTCAGAAGATCTCAATACTACAGATGTATGTTTTATCATTCTTGTATTTCGAATTTTTTTTCAAACAGTCCTGTGCCTTTGCCAATTTATCATTCGATGTAATAGGAAGATACAAGTCCAATCATTGAAAAACTTCTGGAATATGGCGAAGGCATTGCGAGGTACAGAGTAATTTTTTTACCCGAAGATAATAAAATGGATCCTTTAAAGACTCTTTTAACAAGTCAAGAATGGGAAGAATCCGAACTTGACTGGCAAATGGTTTGTATTTCTTAATAATAATACAACCAAGAAAGTGACGACATTCACAATAATTTTTCTTTAGGTTGAAGAAAAAATAGTTGGCTCCTTTTCAGTAGTAATACCGAAAAAAATACAAGATCTTTTAACTAAATACAACAAAGCCATCGAAGAAAATACGATCAATTTTAAATCAAATGTTAGCAAAATAGCATTAGTAATAAACGAGAATCCGTTTGATAAAGAAAGAACAGAGTATTATTTTCAAAGAGACTGGCTTCTTCATTGGGTCCAGATTGTGTATACTTCATTGTAAGGATATTATTTTATCTATAAACATTTGTTTTGCTTGTTATTAGCGTGTTGACACTATGCTAACCTTCACAACTTTATGGAAGTATCACTTGTTTTCAGATGCCAGATGACTTTTTTCATGATTTAACATTGTCTGAATATGCTTATCGTGACCGCATAATTAATAAATTATGGGAAGATGTTTTTTTAGACGTCTATCCTGCAATTTGTATGCGAACGTAAGTACCCTATCTTTATGCATATTTTAAAAATGTCTTATGATATATTAACATATTTATTATTTTGATATACAGTGGTGAAATAGAAAATATTGATCGAAAAAATCAAAAGGATCGTTCACGACCGCCAAAACAAAAAAGAGCAATAGGATGGTCGCATGACGCAATCTTAATGATAAAATGTATGAATAAAAATGTTCAAGTTGGTTTTGGCGAAGTGATTGGTAACCCATGCAGACACGATGATGAAAAAAGGGACGGAGATAGAGGAAAGATGCTTAAAGGTATATCAAGGAGTGCGTTTTTTTATTTACCAGTGAAAGTTGTATTTAATCTTTTGTTTTAATTAGCGATGCAGATATCTCTTAATAAGTTACGAAATTTATTGTCGGAAAAAGGAATATCAAACGAAGACCTTGAAAAATTGGCATGCTTGTGTATAGTACATATGTTTCAATTTGCATCATAATGTTATTATTCGTTGTTATGCCTCTTATTATATCATTTCAATTTTAGAGAGAGACCTTACAATATATTCAACTCATTGGGCGCGTGGACTTTATTTAGTTGACCAGATTAATGGCTTTACTATTCCCGATACTGCAGATCAATTACGTGATCTTTCAAGCATCGTTTACGTTATGTTGGAATTTAAGGTATTTTGCCTTCTTATTATAGCGTATATAAAACCACTACTCAATTAATATTTACTTTATGTAGTACCGTATTATAAATCTTAAGAATCACATTGATTCACTTCTGAAGTACAAACCTAAGATCTTTGGGTATCGCAAAACTATTAGTGAGCCTGCCGTGGACTGTTCATTTCAAATGAAATTACCGGAAAAGAATACAGTTGAAGGGAAAAAGACAAAATGACAACTTAATTATTAATACATTGCAACTCGCAACATAAATAAATTGTTAAAATTTAATTATAATCATGCCGGAATGAATTTGAGAAATTTTAATTTTCAAAGATACTTTACATTTTGATCTTTATTATACAAAACAGATATATTTAATAAAATCATGTGTGCGTGAAGAATTCTTCACGCAGATCACTTTCGAAAAATATATGAACGGAAATTAATAAATGAATATCGGAGCTAGTGACTAGTCACATATCTATTTCCCGACTTCTTGATGCACACGTCTCCTTTTGCCTTCTGGTTCGTCACACATTATTATCCTGTCTTTTAACAACCCCACAATTATTCCAATAACTTTTTTCATTACCTTTCTGATCGATTCAAGGTCCTCCTTCAATACTGTTTTTATAAATTAATTTGATGTTCATTTTTGCTGGTACAATATAGACCGTCAGTTCTTACCACACAAAAATTTCAGACATAATGCCAAATCAGGTTAATCATTATTTTTCATTTAAGATTATCCGGTCTGAGATACACATTGTGTCTAATTTTCCTTTTACGTTCTTATAATATAGATGCGATGAAAATGCGATATATTCACGATAAACTTTTTTTCATATGAAATTTTTGTAGTATGTCATAAATAAATTACTTATATCATCAGCAACAAGCATTTTATCAAACTCTTTCAGATCAAGTATAAGGCCATTATTTCTTTTTTTATATAAAATGGTTGTCATTTTTTTAATCTGATCTCCAAGTGACAATTTATTAATTGATAGATGTGGGATAAATATGTCTTCATGCCTATAAGTCCGTTTTTGAAAATTTTCAAAAATGGACATATAGTGAGAATGACAAACTTGGTGACCTATTCTTAGATAAGAATACTATTGAATAGTTTTATGGATAGTTGCTTTTTCATAGCCAATTTAGTTAAGCTTCGAAAAATATTTAAATCTTTATCACAGTTGTAAACTGAGCAGAGTCCATTATTAATCTTTTTTCTTGGCATTTTTTAGAAAACTTTATTATTTTAGATACAATTGATGTGTTTTAATACATATTTAATGTTTTTTATACTTTACATTGCGTAAAATTTATAATACAAAATGCAAGTGATCGATATTTATTTTTAATAACTAAACTTTTCGCGATTTTATATTATGAATAATTTTTAATAATCCTGGACGGTTAGAAAATTGGCTAAAGCTAAAAAATTGCTGACTAACTCTGCTAGTTCTAATTATATTAAATTACATTATTATCTTTAAATACAAATAAATGAGTGCTAGCAAAGAAAAGATTGCTAGCAAGAAAAATCCTTAAACCAGAAATAATAAACTATTTCAGTTTGATTGTTGGCAAGGAAAAACCTTAAACCGGAAATAATAACTATTTTGGTTCAATTGCTAGCAAGGAAAAACCTCAAACCGGAAATAAAAAGCTATTATTTCTGGTTCAATTTTTGGCAAAATCAAAAACTAATTATTAGCCAATCAAAAAATAATTGATTGTTGGCCAATAAAATTAATTAAAAAAACAAATGATCATCAGCCAATCAAATGGATTTTTAACTATGCTATTTCAACCTTTAAAAAAATATTAACACTAAACTAATACCAACGCTTAATGCTAAACTAATTTATTAAACTTTACTCAAGTTTTTTAATTACACCAGATTCATACCAACTTTTAAGGCAGAGAGTTGCCTGTGCTTTTTCTGGATCTAAACGATTATGTAAGAAGTTTATGGTATGTTTGGTGATTGAGAATACCTGCTCGCTTGGTACACTAGTAGCCTGTATACACAGGTAGTCTTAAGCCATTCTTGCAATATTTTTGTAATTTTGATTATTTGCATGAGCTTTCCACCATGATAATACTTTACAATCAACTTCTGCTAACATAAGATAATTTTGTAGTTCACTTGTTACATCAGAAGAATCAAATGAATGCTTAAAGGCCTTCTTGAAATAATCACATGAAGTTAATTATAAAGTATCAGTTTGGGATGATAAACTGGCATTAGAGGTAATATATTTTGAATAGAGATTTTCTATATATTGTTGAGCTTTATGTTGTTTTTTTGCATCATATAATGAAAGTTTAATATTTGGATTGAGTAGAGCAATCATAAAGGATGATTGATTCAATTTTTGCCAATACTCATCAAGTTTAATTGCTATGGCTGTTGTGATAAGTTTTGGTATAGTCTTTTTGACTGTATTATTAATAATTTTTTCAAGAGATCTTTTAATTGTGGTGAATATTAAATAAAGATTTTTAAAGTTGGATAGCTTGATGATGAGAGCATTAAAGTTGCTTGGTAAATAGGGTGTTAAGGAGATTATAGATTTCCTATATAATTGTATTTAAAAAAAAATAAATAATAATAATAATAATAATAATAATAATAAAAAGTATCTTAATTTCTGACTATTCTGATTTGGTTAGATAATTTGATTTTAATAAATTATTTGATACAACAAGAATATTAGTCATATCTCTAATTTTTTTTTAATTTTTTAATCATTAGTAGTGCTTGGCAAAATCAAACAAAAACTCAATTATTGAGTTTTTGAATCTATCTATTTACAATATTGGGCATGAAATACAAATTTTATTTTTAGTATATAGTCTTACCTCTTTATAATCACACAGTTGGGACCATAGTAATTTTTTTAAAAAAATGTGCTTATAAAGAGGTGTGCTTATATAAAGGTTTTATATATATATTAAATAGTAATTGGGCTCAAATAAGGTGTGATTATAAAAAGGTTTTTATATGATGTGATTATATAGGAGACGATTATAAAGAAGGAAGACTGTATATATAAATCTAACAGAAATCTAATCTTTCTTATAATAACTAACATGAAGTTTAAAGTCAGATTAGAGTAAAAATAGATTTTATAATTGAAGTACTATACTATAAATTGATAGATTTAAAATTCAATAATTAAGTTTTTATTTGATTTTGCCAAGTACTAATCATTAGAAATATACTATTTTAATAGGTTGAAACATCTAGATTAAGAACAAGAAACTTTTTATTTTTCATTTTAAATATATCTTTTAATTCTTCAAAAATTGGTTAAGAATTATATATAGTAGATACAAAGGATCTTGCTTTTATAATAAAAGTATCAACAAGTTTTAATTTTTCTGCAACAATTAAGTTTAAACTGTGGGCAGTATAATAATAATACTAAAAATCATTATTATCAAATTCTTCTTTAAGGCTTTGTTGTAAGTAATTAGCAAAAGTAATTATATTAAATCTATTATTAGTTGTTGCAACAATTATTTTTTCTCCAATTTCATAAAAACTAATAACTTCTAATACAATATTTGAAATATTTAATCTTATATAATCATCTTTAATAGAAACAAGATCAAGAAGCAATATTTGTATATTTCAATTATTGTTAATCTAATAAAGTGTTATAGATAAATAATGCTATTATTACAAGCAGTCTATAAATTGATTGTAATAGCTGATTTTTTTATTGTTTATAAAAAGTTTTTTAATAATAATTGTTGTTTTTGATAAATTGCTTTAATATAGTTTGTTGAGATAGTAATTGATAGTATTCATCAAGTTCTTTGATTAATTTAATAAAACTAAAATCTTTGATGATTATAAAAGATTGTTGATTATAAATAATTCACTTTATAAACAGATAAGTAATATGTTTAACTTTTAATTCATTATCTATTCTGTAAGGTTGAACCGTTTTAGTTTTTTTAAGTTTTAACTCTACTTGATTATAAATAGTCATATGATATTTTTTAAAATGGGATTTAATTGTGCTAATTCCTGTTGATTTTTGCTATTTTAATAGAAGATGTTGTCCTTTACAGGGTTTATAGCAGATATAAAGTTTATATTTACTTGGTTTAAGATATTCATATAAAGAATAAAGTTTTTTATATTTTTTATTTAAATAATGATTTTATAGTTAAAGAATCTACTTTTAATTCTTTTTGCAAAGAATTATGTATTTTATTATATAAAGGGTCTTTTTTTTTAATAATATTGATATTATTGTTAGTAATATCTATGATGCAAAAATTTAATACTCAAAAGTAAAAAATTTTTCTTTAAATAAAAAATTAATTTATTGTATTTATTTTATATATATTTTTTAATGGCTTTGTCTTTTGTATTATTTTATGATCAAATTAATAATTATGTGATTAATATGAGATTTGAACCAACTCTTTCCGCTAATCCTCTGTACCAAAACGGCTAAAAAGAAATTTACCTAGCAGAGCAAAAACTAGTATAGAATACGACACAAGTACTA